CTATGTTTTTTTAATAACCAATACTCAAAAACTTTTTTAAAATTAAATGAATCAATAGAGGGACTATTTAGAGCTATCATTAAATAGTTATTAAATATATCAATATTCATTTAATTATGAAACTGGGTCTTTATAAGATTTTGTTAAGAAAAAACTCTTTTAACTATAGCATTTGAAACAGGAATAATTAAAGAAATCTAAATTAAAGTTGAAGTAGCAGGAAAATCTAAAAGAAAAGAAGTTTTTATAAAAATAAGATTCTAAGTATTAACAAATTTAAATAATTGATAACTCTTAAGAAAAAATTTAACTAATCTCTATTCTTTAATTAATAATTGTTTGATAAGTATTAGTTTAAACTTTTTATCACTAACTATTTTTCTAATCTATAAAAATCACTAAGAAATCTAATTTTTTCATTGCTATAATTAGATAATTTACTATCTAAATTTGTAATTGTTCAGAATCAAATATTTTTAATACATTAAATAGTTCTCTATTTGAAAAGTGATTGTTAAGACTCTCAATTATTGCTAATATAAATTCAGAAATAAATATCAGAAGTTGATCAATATTTAAATTATTGTTTGCTATATACTCATATAAATTTGGACTATAAGTAGGTAAGACTTCATTGCTGCCAATAAATTGAACCTGAATTGCATCAACTGTTATAGTAATATATTGTCGAATATCTATAAACAAAACATCATCTAATTGAAAAATCATATTAATTTTTTCATAATAAAAAAATAGTCAACTAAAAACATTATTATAATTTCAAATTCTTGATCAATATCTGTTAATAAGGAGACAGCTTGCTGATTAGTTATTGCTTCTTCTAATAAAACTTCTTTAACTAATTTTAAACTTCTGTAAAAATTATAAATAATATTTGAGAATAAGAGCCAACAAGTAGATACAATATTTAATAATACAAGCTCTAGTTCTTCTAAAGTATTTTGTACTATTTTTAAAGTTAATAATTATTTATAAGAATTACTAAAATATAAATAAATTCCTTTAACTAATATATCATATTTTTTAAAATATAAAACTTATTCTGTGGTATTATAGCTAGTAAGATATAATTGATATGCTATATAATGATTTTCTATAAGATAAAAATTATACTTTTTAAGTTGTATAACAATATTAGTTCAATGTCCAAGTATTGTACTAATACTATCACTTCTAAAATAAAATATATTTTTAATATTAAGTGATTTTGCAATTATAAATCTTTCAAGATCTTTAGTAATTGATTTTGCATTGCAATTAGTAAGTTCAATTATTCTAAGATATTGCAAAACTAGTTTATTGTTAATAAAATATTTAGCTACAATTAAAAGATGTTTAGCATTAAATGAAGTACTTTCATCGACTAAAATATTTCAATTTTTTAAATTAATTAATTCTTGAATTATTTCATATTCTATAACAAATACTATTGATACAAGAAACATACATCCAGATATTGGGTTTTATATAAAGCATATTCTTACTTACTCAAACTAAATATTTCATAATCATTTAGTTTTAATATAACAGATTCTTTTTCAAAATAAAGCTCATTACAATTTTTTAATTGTAACTGCTCTAATTGATATAAAGCTAAATATTGTTTTATAGCCTAATTATTCTTTGAAAAATAATAAAAATTATACATTAATAATATAATTTTTAATTTTTGAGTACTTATTTGTTCAGTAAAACTTTGAATAATTATAGTTTGTTGACTATCTTAATTAGTAATTGCTTTTCAATGATCATTAGTTGCAAGATGTTTTTCAAATATTTGTTTTCATAAAGACTGAGTACTGATAGTAAATTGATTAATTTTTTTTGCTACCTTATACCAAGTGCAAAACATAGTAATAATACTATTGATATTCTTATATTTTTTAACCTAAAGATAAACTTTAAAAAAATTAGGATCCTAACTAGTGTGAATTTTTTTATAAGATTTTTTATTTTTAAAATTAGTTTGCTACTTGCAATATTCTCTTGGTTATTAGAAATTTTAATGCTTTGTCAAATTACAAATTTATCTATAGTTTATTAAAAAAAATAAAAATAAGCTTGAATACTTTATAAATTATAATTCATAAATATTATTTATTTATATATATGTATTAACTTATAGTTTTTAATCATAATATAATATTTATAAAAAGAATATTTAATTGGAAGTATGAATTTGTGCAAAAATACTTTACATGTAGTATATTAATTCTAAACTTTATAACATATTATAAATATAACTTATTTGTTTATTGATTTAAGCATAAAAAGGTATAAATATTTTCAAAAAATATTGTACGTATATAATATGTTACTAATTTAGAAGTATCTAGCTAATAGTACTAAATATAAACTTTATTGATTTTTATTAAAATATACAGTATACATCAGTACAATTAATATACAGAATAT